GAACACTATAGAATTTTAAAAAGAATTATCTATACTAAAATTAGCACAATGCAAACTATTGTGAACACAGTTGCTAAAACCACAAGAAATTTATTCGCATCAAGAAACCTCAATTTGAAGTCAGGGGTGTGGCTCGGTAGCAGAGCACATGCCTGCGATGCACAGGGCCCTGGGCTTGGTCCCCAGTCACAGTTTCAGATCTTAAATTTGGCATCTGCATTCTCCTCTGATGCCCACTGCTGCTGCCCCACTGGAAGTCTCCCCAACACAAGGTGAGATGAGCCTCACAGTTGGTAGAGCTCTGACCTCCTTTTCAAGAACCCTGAGAATGAGAAACGATTGGGTTATCTGACGGGATTTGAAAAAGTTTATTACTGGAGGAAAAAACTTTCCTTATTACTGACAAAATATCAACTTTCTTTTGTTCAAAGTCATAAGTCAAAGTTCACATGGAGGAAGACAGGCGGGTCTATGAGTCCATCATCATGCCGGCTCCAGCAGACAGTGGGTTCAGAATGTTTCGGGAGCCCAACACCCAAAGAGAAGGAAACTTACCTGAGAACCTTGAGCACTTTCCTGTCACAACCTGTTGTGTTCACTCAAGCCTGGGCCTGGGAGAGAGGCCTCCAAATATTAGGCCACTGAGGCATGGCAGATACTGGCAGGCGTGTAATTAGAGAGGGCCAACCCCTAGGTTGGCAGCCCAAGACTCAATATTCTACTGTGAGACTCTCGGGGTTTCTTAGGCCAAGTCTGAGCTCTCTTTGAATCAGCCTCCTGTTCCTCAACCACATTCAATCTTTCACTCAAACCCACGTTCGCATCTTCTTACATGGCACCATTTCACTAAGCATATTTCAGAATCACAGCTGACTGTTTTGGAAACTTTTAGTATGAATGAGTTGTGTAAGAGAGCCATAAGGTAAAAAAGGAAGCAAAATCTCAGACATCCAGTGTGGTGCATTTTTTCATTCATATAAGGAAGCTTCCAAAAGGAATTCAGATTCCAAAATTATTTTCCTACAAAATTTATGGAGAAGACAAAGTTCATACAGAAGCAGAAAAGACAAATGAACGTGTGAAAAGCTGAAAACTCTCTTGAACCTGATAGTCTTCATCCTGCTTTTTCTCTTCCTCTATGGCAATCCCCATTTCTCTGCCCTGTGCTTTCTTTCTCTAAGCTGCTCCCCTTTCCTTCTTCCTGGTCACAAACCCCCAAAGCAACACTATCTCTTGAAATGAAGCCACTGCCAGGGCAAGCCCCTAGGACTGAATGAAAGCCCAGGCTTCTCCATGAACTGAGCACTGGCAAAGACTTTCAGAACCTACCAGAACATTCAGGGTCTCCTGATTTATATCATTAGTTCACACTGCTAGTAAGAACCTCAGATAGAAAATACTGGATGAGAAGGGAGAAAAACCGGAGAAGCTTAGGAAACACGGTGAATGTTGGACAAGGCCTCTTGGAGACCTCTTGGTAACTCCAGTCTAGATGCGCCAGCAAGGAAGGAACAGGCTCCTCCAAATTTGCAGGACAGTTCTTCACCACATGTCACCAGCACTCAGGAGTAGCCCTGGAAGTGGCTGTGACTCCAGCTCCCTCCTCACCATCTACAAGGAGCCTCAAGCCAGAAACAGAACATTTATAAATGAGCAAAAACAGACTGGGAAGAACCACATAGTCAGCTTTTCAACTCTATATTGTATATTTTCCAAGAGCTTAAACACAAAAGTCAAATAAGACCCAGAAAAAGCTGGAGGCTTTACACATAAAACTAAATGTGTAATTTTCATCAATTCAGGTGATACAAGATTGACCTTAATTCCTGCCATGATTACGAAAGCACTCCCTCACAGTCAACAAACTACTGGTTCATGGTTATCAAGAGTATCCCTCACATTTCCCGTGTCCCTACCCACAACTGTCACCTTTGGACCTTTAATCAATAGATAGTCCCCTTTTCCAACAAGGAACAACACCCACTAACTTCATAAGAAAAAGTCCACTGTGCAAACAGAAGTGCAGATTGAATGTCCTCCTGGCCACCCCTCCTTGAGCGGCCCCCCCCCCAAGGACTCCATATTCACCATCAAATCAGAATTTATCTGAACTGCGTCATCAGTACACTTGGGACTAAATTAAGCCCAAATTGAAAATCTAAAAAGGCCTGATTCAGTATCAGAAAAAATAAAAATAAAAAATATAATGGCAGAAGCATACAGACTGACTAGATCAAGATTCATAACAACTAATCCAAATCCCTACCCAAATCTGCCCAAATCTAAAATGAGATGGCAAAGCTGGACTAATGCCCAACAACTGAAGGCCTGAGAAAGCAAAGATTCATCATAGTCTGCTCAGGGTCTCCCAAGGCTGCGATCAGGGAGTAAGCAAGCTGCATTCTCACTGAAGGCTCAAGAGGGGACAAATCTGCTGCCAACCTCATTGAGGTTGGACAGTAACATTTGTCTCCTTGTGACTGTATGACTGAGGGCCTCAGCTTTTTTGCTGGCTCTTAGATAATAATAATTAACCTCTGTTGTAGTTTGTATCTGGAACATCCTCCCAAGGCTCATGTGTTGAAGGCTTGGTCCCCAGCCTTCATTGGGAGTGCTATTGGGAGGTTGTACAGCCTTTAAGAGTTAGGGCCTAGTTGGAGGAAGTAAACCACTGAGGGTGAGTCCTTGTAGGACCTTCTGCTCTCTGTCCCTCTCTGCTTTGGAGCTGCCACAGGTGAGCATATTATGCTCCCTGCCATAATGTTCTGCCTCATCGCAGGCCCAGAAACAAGTGACCATGGAGAGAAACCTCTGAAACCATGAACCAGCTATTTAAAAGATTTGAATGATTAGTTACTCAGTAGTTCCTGAAGACTTGCATATGAACCAGCGTGGATTTCAGAAAGATCACTAAAGATGAGATGTTGAGAATTCACTGGATTGGAACCACAATGGAGACCAGTTAGAAAGCTGATGAAGTAATCCAGATTAGATGATGGCAACTGAACTTGGTGTTAGCTTGGCAAGAGAAAGAAGTGAATGGATTAGAAAGCTACTAAAGTGAGTTTTCTGCAGTGGTATTGATAAAGAATAATTCCAAGTTTTCCAAGTTTCTAGTTTGAGAAAAAAGCATCAAAAATGCCACCACTTTCTTAGGTAAAAAAGAATGAAGGATAAGAAGTTTAGAATAGGCATCAGCAAAATTTGGGGACTATATGGTCTCTGTCATAACTACCCAGCCCTACCACTGTAGCAGAGAAGAAACCATAGATGATATGTAAAGAAACAAGCATAACTGTGGTCCAATAAAACTTTAATGAAAACAAGCAAGCATAGGGCTCTAGCAACAATCCTTGGTTTAGAGATAAAGATGATGAGTTCAGTTTTTGACTTGTAACTTTCAAGGTGCCTCAAGGGACACTGAGTATTGACAGCTGCTTAAGAAGACATTAGATATGAATTCTGAAGCTCAGAAGATATATCTGGAGTATTTGTTTGTTTGTTTGTTTATTTATTTGAAATTTGGCAGAAAAGATGATAAATGAAGTCACGAAATACAACACAAGAAAATATCCTCCTGAGAATCCGAAAGAAAACCAACACGTAGGAGTGAAAGCAAGAGGGAGGATTTGCAAAAGAACTATGAAGGAGCATCCTAGCAAGTCAAAAACACTCACTAAAAACCAGAACTGAATAATGTGGCAGCAGAAGTTATTTCAAGAAGGAAAGATGACCAGGAGATGCAAATGCTCAGAAGAGATTTAGATAAGGTCAGGATTAAAATTATGTGTTGTACTGAGCAAAAGGGAGGGAGTGCTGGGAGCCTTGGCAAGAGACTCCAGTGGCAGTGAGCAGGGAAGCCAGATTGCGGCAGAAGGAAGAGGACTGAAAGGTGTGGTCAGGAAAGCTGTAAGGCAGGTCTAAAAGGAAGGGCATCGTGCTTTAGGAATGGAGAACCATCTGTGCCTTTCCACTAATCCTGTGTGTTCTGTTCATCGCCAAACCCTTCTCGTGCAGCCAAGTGATCAATATTGCTGCAGACTGAGCATTTCTAACACTAATGGAAATACAATGGGAAAAAAAAAGATGAGTGTTAAGATAGAAAACAGAAGAACTAATCTGTAAAAACTAGCTTGTAAAGGCTGAGACGGTGAGTCTGGGGTGCGGGAGGAGCCAACTCTATACAAGCTGCAGAAGCCCTCCTCCTTATGATGAGAGAGAAGGTATGACGTGAATGAAAAAAGACTAAGGTAACTACAGGTGTCCCTCAGTACCACGGAGGACTGTTCCACACTCTCCCCACCACAATACCAGGATCTGAGGATGCTCAGGTCCCTTCTGTGCCATGGGGTGGTGCTGGCATGTTGCCGAGCACATCCCTCCCTACACTCTACATCAGCCTCCTGCCCTGTGATCCGTGAATGACCTGCACAACAGAAAACTGTCCAGCAGGAAATGCCAAACACAACAAAAGAAACACGGAGATTAAGAGTTTTGCAGATTCACTCAGATCACAAGATGGAAAGTCTCTCTTCTCACCAGAAAAAATAAATGACTTTTCCTGGGATGGGGGGACTCACACATCCAGTTTCTGCATTTCCCCCTTAGCAGCTTTCAGCTGCAAGTCATGTGCGGAATGTTTGGGAATCTAGTCACCCAGGGCTCTACCACTGCCTCACCAGAAACAGGGTTATAATTTATATTGGTAAAGACAACATCACAATGTTCAAAACTTACATGAAATCCATAGATCTGACAGCACCATTTTCAATCACCAAGTTTTTCTCTCATGAAAGGCTAAGTCAATACTGATTCATTAAATACAATGCTTAAGGCACTTCTCTTTACACTGAAAATAATCCAAGTGTAAACAACACTGATTTTTTTTTTTATCTCATGTATATCCAAAAAAATGATAATTACATTTCATCCTAGAACTGTCACAAAATGTTTGGTTGGAGGTCGGGTACTATAAAGATAACAGAAATACAGTTTCTCACCTTTACTACCCCATCAAAGCCAGGGATTGTGTTAACCTTTGCTTTCTTGGCTAATAATTTGCTTTCAATCTTGTCACCCATGGCTTGAATAGCATGTGTGTCAGGTCCAATGAAAATAACATCTTCTGCTGCCTGCGGAGAAAAACAAGTTGAAATTTATAACAAAAACATTACATAGCATGATAAGGAGTCATAATTTTATTTTTTTAAAACCATACATGTTTGTATAATTACATATTAATAACTATAATTATTATATTTATATATCAAACTGAAAAGTAAACCTCTGCGCCAACACATTAAAATATACAATGCTGTATTGCTTATAGTACATGTGTACATAGACATATTGAACAAATTCAGGTCATAGAAGATCTGAAAATAATGCAGCAACTCAACAGCAACAGTATTCTTTGGAAAAGCAACCTCTATGACAAGATATTTTTATACAATACCCTGCACCCAATCAAAACAGTAAGTTCACCTTTAAATTGCCTTGTAAACCTTTGTATCCTCAATATCCTGCAGCCCAGAACTTCATACAAAACGCCCACACATACTGAATGCCAACTCTGTGCCAGGTTTTGAGCTACATGTCAGGGGATAACATGGATGAAGACTACAGGATATTAGCAAATCCAAGGAAACATGAGCAGATGACCAATAACCCAGAAATAAGGAGCAGAATTGTTTTACAACCTGTGACTACAAAAGGTGAGTCAGGAATACAGTGAGAACTCAACAAGAGAGTTATAGTTTCCAATAAATAAATAAATAAGCGAATTGCTCTGTATAAGTTACAACAGCTCTCTGACAACGGGTCTACCTTTGTGTGTTTATGTCATAATAAGCAAAATGGTAGATTGAAAATAGTAAGTAGGGACACAATGGAATACAATATAGTTAGAGGCAAGGCAGATGTTCTCTGACATAAAGGATGACGTCATTAAGAAAAGAAAGTTAACTATAAAAAAGGAAAAAGCTGATGTGCATTCTGGGCATCCCCAGGCAGGATGCCTAACTACTGGTTCTTCTAGGACCCATGGTCAGGGTTGGGGTGACCATAAGTCACACTGCTTGTATATCATGTTACGTCACCTGCTCTACCTGTTGGGGTGGCTGCTTGTGAAGATCCTGGCAAGGGAAAGGAGCGCCATTCTCCTGGTAACCAGAGCCCTCACAGCTTGCTGCTTGGACAAGCCTCCCAGCCACAGTGGCTGAAGAGGAGTAAACCCATCCAGAGCAGGAGGTAGAAACAGAACGGGAATCAACAAAAAGAATATGTGAGAAGATACATATTCGGGAGAAGAGATGATGACTTCAACTCTGCACATGTTGAGCTGAGATGCCCAAGGGACAGTCAAGTAACCCTGTCTAGAAGGCCAATAAGGCAAGTCCAGGCTGAGATATGGATCATAAAAGGTTACCGAGTATAGGAGGAAATTAAAAATGGCAACTGAACTCATTCAGAACAAATGTGTCGAAAAGCCACTGCCTCTACTGTATATTTCCTTGCTGCCCAAAAGCAAGATGGGGAAAGGGAAATTTTAGATTCTGAAGTCTGTTTCTTTGGGTGACCAGCAGTCTTCCATGCTTGATTTTAGGATTAAATAAAATAACATAAGGGAGGAAAAACACCTCTTCACTCTACCCTTCCAAGTTTATGGCTGAGTCATCCACTACTAGTGACAGATTAACAGAACAGAAGCACATGGGTTTATGTACTGTAAGTTTTACCTGACCCACAAGCCCTCATAAGAAAATGAAGACCCAAAGAGAGAGTTAAACTTGAGCATTTCTTATACAGACTTGATAAAGTGTGGTCAGTCATGGGAAATGACAGGGCAATCGCAGTAAACTGGGGAACCTCTCAAGGCCTGCTCACTTACTCGGGCATGCTCTGTGTCCCTCCACCCTTTCCTCCAGGACCAGGAAAGGCCTTACAACCTTTTTAAGAGATACATCAAAAAAATCCCTAGGTTATATCGTGTGCTTGACAGGAGAATGATGGAAAAGGGTTCTGCTTTTGGTATTTTCTCCAACTCCTTCAGCTCACAATATTCAATATGCCTAGAGGCCATATTTTGGGGTAACTGCCTGAGGCCCATCAATTATAAAGTGAAGCACCAAGCTGTATACCACAACTATTAGGTGTTTGTTTTTTCTGAAACAGAATTTTTTTGTTGTTCTTTATAGATAAACATGGCAGTAGAGTGTATTTCGACATATTATACATACATGGATATAACTGATTCTAATCAAGATCCCAGTCTTGTTGTTGTACAGGATATGGAGCTTCACTGTCAACTATTAGGTTTTCTCCACTACCCAGAAGTCCCAACAGACAGCGAACACTAGAATAAGACAGTTCGGTCCGCAGAACTCCAATATAGACTATAGGAACCCAAATACCTACAATCATTAGTATTCCAAATGGCAAATTTGGGGTAAGAAACTTCTTTAGCCACAAAAGATGCTCATAAAGTACCTCTCCATCAAATGTTTGAATCTAGTTTTAGCAGAACCTATTGTCATAAAAAAAAAAAAATCTTATACAAAATCATAAAAATATAAAACACATGAAAAGTGGAGCTGTTGTACCTGAGAAGAGTTGGCAGACCCACCACTCCCTGCAAACCAGGTCTCCATCTTTATAAGCCATCCATTATGGACCAGGGCAGTAATCATACTCATTTCTCTTTATCCCAAACCTGCCACTCACTAAATGCTATGGAAGGCAAGAGGGGACAATCATGCTTCAACACCAATTGTCTTTCCATATTCTCATTTTACCTGCTAAGACAGAAAAACTTCATTATAAACGCTGTTTTAAAAACCACTATGCCAGGCAGATGTAATCAAGCAATCAGAATACCCACACAGACGGAAGAGACAATGTAAATGAGAACATCCAAAATACATTATGATTATAGAGTAAAACTTCTGATTAACAGGAGCCTGAAGACCTGGACCACTGATTAACCGGATTTGTCTCGTGTATTCTAATTTGAGGAAAATTGCTCACCCCAAAATGCAAAATTGTCCAGATAAATGCTCACATCAAGTATTTAGTGACTATTCTTTGTCCCATCCAACACAAAGGAAAAATAGCCACTAGTGTGGTGGGGGACTGTTCAAACAAAGGTTCCAAAGAACTAGCTCCTTCTTATCCATGTATGGAGGACTCCCGAGGTTGGCCCTCACATGCAATTCAAGCAAAATAAGAAAGCAATATCCTAGTATCCCAACTTCCATAATTCTGTGACCAAAACAAATAAATAAATAAAAGGAAGAATGAGATCATGGTAAGAGAATACTGATGAAGCATGCCTCAGAAATTAATACAATACACATTCTGTTAAAATATACCTGTTAAAAACCTGTGAATAGGGCTTGGGTTATAGCTCAATTGGTAGAGTGCTTGCCTCACACCCCCAAAGCCTTGAGTTCAATCCCCTGCACCACCAAATGGAAAAAAAAAAACTGTGAATATACACACTTTATCTTCCAGCACTGTCAATTTAAAGGACTAGAAGAAATGATCAATCAATCCATAGAAATGACCATGCCTAGCACCCCAACTGTGGTCTCCAAATACCACTCAAATAAACTAACATGAAAAAGAGAAACAAACAAACCAAGGCATCTTGAAACAATAAAGCTGTTTTAGAATAAAAGGAAATGATTACTATAAGAGTCAAAGTCGTGGGGACATTCATAGAGAGAAGTTGGAGGTGAAGATTGAGAGGAGTGGGCTGGGGTGTAGCCCAGTGGTAAAGCATGCATGAGGCCCTGGGTTCCATCCCCAGCACTGCAAAGAAAACAAAGAAAGAAAGAGACTGGGATGGGTCACATGGGCAGGCCTTCCGGGATCAGATCAACTGTTTACATCTGGATGACAACTGGACGCTTACTTATTTGCCCTATAATACTTCATAAGATCAGGTGTTCCGACCTACTAGTGTTTGCCAAGAAAGAAATTGCCCCATGCCATAAGGTTGCTGGAATCGCAGACAACTGGGTCTGGACTTTCTAAGCACCCGAAACAGGTACCTCAGGCCACCTGTGCTAGGAGCATAGCAACGGGCTCTACAGAGGGCTGCCCAAGCAGTGACAGAGGAGAAATGGATGAATGGGAGGCCTGGTCCTGCTTTCCTTTCCTACCTCCAGTGGATTCGCTGGTGGTCATCCATGCTATACTGCATGAGTGCCACAAGCTGTATTTCATTATGCCTTTGGTAACAGCATATCACACTGTGCTGTAAATGTGGCAGACACAACCTGCAAACAGATTTCTTATTAAATGTAAATAGTTTTTGTTTCCAACAAGGCAACTTCTGGTCCTTCAATGTAATATTACTTAACCTTTGGGTGCTTTCTTTAAAAAACTGAAAAACAAATGAACAATTCATTTTAACACCAGTAAGGAATTTTAGGCACATTAACACCTGAGCTCCTAAGAGTTTCCTCCAGCTTAGGAAATGCATGCTGAAATCTATGTTGGTCTTTCTTTTTTTGTAATGGACCTTTATTTTATTTATTTATATGGGGTGCTAAGGGTCAAACCCAGTGACTCACACATGCCAGGCAAGTGCTATACCACTGAGCCACAACCCCAGCCCTCTATGTTGGTTTTTAACATAAACTCAGTGTACTTTAAAAAATAATCATGGGGGGGGGGGGGGCGGGTAGAACATTTAAACAGAGAAGGGAGGCACATTCCTACTGCAATATTTATGGTCATGAAAAAAATACCAGTCCGGTGGGTAAGGAAGAGCTCCACCACCACTACTACAGAGTATCCTGAGCCCAGCACTGAGACAATGCAGGTTGGAGAAGGCCAGAGTGTGAATCCCAGTTGATCCTCCCCAACACTGAACGGCAGCACCCTCTAAGAGCAGAGCAACCTGAAGCAGCGTGCCCTCAGCCAGCACAAAACCTATTTTATTCTACTGTTGGTCAACTCATGATAAACTAAGAACCCAATTTATATCCTAGGGATGTAGCTCATTGGCACAGAATTCGCCTTGATCCCCAGAACCATGAAGAAGAAAAAAATTGTGATTCATTAGGATAAGGACATACAGCTGGTGCTCAGTAAGCCTATAACTTCAGTGGCTCCAGAGGCTGAG